AACCTGAGGCAGGAGGATCACAGCAAGTAGCCAGCCGGAACAACATAGCGAGACTCTGTCTCAAAAAAAAAAAGTACCACCTAAGTTGCATTTAAAGAATTACTCTCCTCCCCCCAAAATATCAATCATACTGGCTACTGAATATATAATACCACTCACAAAGTAAGATTACAAAAGTTTAAAATGTTTTAAATGGTTTGTCTGAAGCATGCAATTAAACCCATTGACTCTGGGCTTTTACTTTTGAAATAACTATTTTTGAAAACACAAAGCAGTAGATACTGTTCTGAGTGTCCTGGAAACTTACTGATAATTCTGATTTAAATTAAATTCTCCCGTGCACTTCAGAATTGAGTGCAAGTCAAAGCTCATCGCCACACCCTTTTGCACACTAGCTCACAACACACAGATGACCAAACGGCTCTGTATGAGACATTTCAACGACTGTTAGTTGAGAGGAAACATCAAAACTAATAGGAAATCAGCCAGGTGTGCTGGTGCACACCTCTAATCCCAGGACTTGGGAAACTGAGGCAGGAGGGATCACCACAAGTTTGAAGGAAGCCTGGGCTACAAAGTTAAGTTCAAGACCAGCCTGAACTACATAGCAAGACCCCATCTCTAATAAATAGACTAGATAGATAGATAGATAGATAGATAGATGGAAATCAACTGTCAGCAAATACTATACAGTGCCTTTAAGCTAAATGCCACATCAGCAAAGTGTTGAATTAAAAGATTTGGCTTTAAATCTTCAATAACAGACCTACTTTTATAAAGAAGTAGCACATTCTTTTGTTTGTTTTGTTTCTTGAGACAGGGTCTCACTATGTAATTCAGGCTGGCCTTGAACTAGCATGATCTTCTTGCCTCAGTCTCCCTGCTCAGCCTCCTGAGTGCTGGGATTACAAGTGCCACCACATTCAGCTAAGAACAGAACATCTGAACATATGGCATTGTTACTTTGTTATCAGCTTTTAAATAAAACAAGAGAGAAAAGAACCTGCACATCAAATGCAATGTTAGGTATTTTAGGTGTACCATTCACAACCTTTTTTCCCAGCAAATCTATGGATAAGGCTTTATCTCCTTAATTTTACATTGAGGAAACTGCAGTCTAGAAAGTGTAGTAACTCGTCCACAGTAATGCAGTCAGTGGCAATAAAGAACTCAAATCCAGGTCTATTTCACAAGATACTACATACTGTATGATTCTTTCTTCTCATACTAGTTAGGAGAATGCAAAATCGAGCTATAATGGTAAGTCACCTCTATGACGATGCTGTGAGAATGCCAGTTCCCTGTAGAGAGGGTACTGACTGCAAAGCTTCAGGAACCTTCTGGAGCCGTGAAAGTGTTTATTTCTTGATTTGGGTGGTGGAAACACATACAGAAGTTCACAGTTCATTTTGCAGCATACTGTATGCTACACCTTAATTTTAAAAAAAAAATCCTTCTCCAATCAACTTCAAATCCATGTGCACAACTGCTAAAACCACACTGGCCACTGACAGGACCCAGCCACACTCTAGAACTGATTATCTTACATAATTAATTTTAAAAAACACTCTGGTAAGCAATGTCCATATTAACCACATGAGTGTGGAAACATCTTAACAATAAACCTGGTTTAAAATGCCACAGAATGAAAAGTAGAAAGTATCAATTTCCTGGCTACTGGGAATTTCCCCTCTGCAGCTACAGCAGAATTAAAAAACAAAAAGTTAAACAGAAAATAATTTATAGCAAAGTTCTTAAGACTTATCTACAGAAATGCTAGAAGCTAAAGTAACAAAAAACATTTTCAAAATCTACACCATCAGTTTATCAATTTTGACTCTTAAAAGTTTGAGTTTTGTTACAAAAATTAAGTCAACCCAAAACAAAGCTGATGAACAAGGGGCATAAAACTCACAGTAGACACAATGGGAACCTAAGTGTGAAAACCTCAAAGCTGAAACAAATAAAAAACTCAGTACAAATAAGTTTTTCTTGCAGTAAAGTAACTGGGAAACAAATTCTCCAAGTAACAAGTTCTTTCACTGCAACTTTGCAATGTCATCACCAGGCGATGATGAAATCATTACATCAAATCTCACACAGCCTTACCCCCCCCACACACACACCTCTTATCCAAACAGTAATTGCCTCTCCAGAGAGAGGAATATATTTCTTCTTACAGTGTGGAGACATATTTGGCAGTACCTACCAACAGTTATTATGGGGGCAGAAAAAACAGCTAGGTCCATACCTGCGGGTGTTATGTGGGGTCATCTTTCCTGGATGCCTTATGCAGCCAGTAAATATTTACCTTTTTTTTTTTTTTTTTTTTAACTTTTTATCGGTACCAGGGATCAAACTCACGACTGCCTGCTTGCAAGGCAGGTGCTTATGCCGCTGAGCTAAATCCCCAGCCCCAATATTTACCATTTTCAAATGACCAAAGCTTACTTTAATCTTCAGTTTAAACTTTCACACACACCAAAAAAATACAAAGTAACTGATAGAAATAGCCTCAGCTTACCCTAGGCATACACATATAAGACAGAATAGTTCAGTATTTGGTAATTTATGCACCACCAGCAGGAGTGTTGCAATGGATTACATAACCAAATATTATTCGAGTTGCAAGATTTCAGCATTCATAAAATCACTGTCATTTAGTAATTAACAGACTGTTCAGTAAAACTGTCAGAAAATAAAAAACAAAACCAACCAACTGCCCCAAAAAAGCCCTAGAGTAAAGAATTGTGTCCATTAAGTTAGAAAAAATTAAAAGCACTGACTCAGTACTTCAAGAATGGGTCAGTATTCCTACAATGTTGTTTGTTTTTAATAAAAAAAAAAAACCATGACTAGAAAACATAAAAAGCTAGCGCTTTGAGAAACAAAGAATTTATCTTTTAGTCCCTATATTAGCTGAAAAAGCCCCACACATTTCTCCCTAGAACATCTTAGCTTTATCCAACAATGCCATCATGTAAAGTATATACATATAGGTAATTCATATGTGTTTGGAGCCTCCTGTTTCTTAATATGACTTTAAAAAAAAACCACGAGCCAATCATGGTGGCTCATGCCTATAATCCCAGCACTTGGGAGGCTGAGGCAAGAGGATCATTGTGAGTTCCAGAGCCCCGAGCTACAAAGTGAGCTCAAAGCCAGTCTGAACTGCAAAGTGAGACCCTGTCTCAAAAAGACCAAAAAAAAAAAAAAATTTAACACACTTGAGGAAACAGTATAGTGAAAAAAAGAATCAATCATGAATTATCAGTTGTACCTTCCTATTTTTGGCACAACTGTAGTGTATCACAACTGCACAAATCTAAACCATGATTTTTTAAAAATAAAAGGAAATCTTCAAAACTATAAGCCCCGGGAAGGGAGGAGGAATCAATTTATAAGTTTTACAACAAGAAAACTATATTAACTTATCTCAAAAGGCTACTTCATTCCTTGGATTTTAAAAACTTAGAATTTCACCTGCCAAATTTGGCTGATTTAGGTCTCATAAATCTAAAGGGGTTCCCACAGGGTCCATCAGCAGTAAGGAGGAGTTGATGCCATTAGAACTTGAATGTTGATTACAGCCATGATCAACCTTCATTAACTACTTAATTTTCAGCAGTGGTAGAGGAGTTCGGCAGTCATCCAGTTTGTCCTCAAAACAATCTCGTTAAGCAGACACTACCACCTTGAAAACCAGATATAAAAAATGAGGTGAAAAGTTGTCCCAGCTCACTGAACAGTTCCTGGCAGAATCAAGATTAACGAAGGGTGCGTTTACGAATTTCATGGAGAATTAGGGCGTTCATCTGCACAAAAAACTAAACTAACAAGTGATCCTTTGCTGCAGCAACAGTCCCAAAGGAAAAAGCAATATCCCACACTAAGAAAAAAAAAGAAGAAAGAAAAAAAAAAAAAAAAAAAAACAGTGAGCGTTTCAAACAGAAGCTCTAATAATAAACACATCTGTAAGGACTGGGCAGGACAGAAAAATGATTTAAGCAGAGTTCTTTCTACACAGAGCCTGGACTTCTCTGGTCTTAAAATCTAATCTGGTTTAAGAGCATACAGGCGCCCCAAATCCCCAAATTCCACCAGGTTTACCCTCTATTCAAAAGAAACATAACTGACAGTGGGGATACTAAGAAGTCACCGTCCTACCCAGTCAGTCCTCCCACGGATGAGACCAAAAGACCACCGAGGAGCCCCGGGACTGGACTCGACCGGGGTACCCGATTCCTAATATGGGGATCTTGTGACCACCTCGTTAATTATCTCTTCATCTCCTGAGCTACAAATAATTACACGGGAAGAATTTGTTATAACAAGTAGAAGCCCGGATTCCCCAACTGGCTCAGTAACCAGAAAGGCTAGTCTCCCACAAGGGAGGGGCCGCAGAATATAGTTTGTTTGTAACAGTCTACGAAGTTGGGGATGCTGAAATGGCCTTTTGGAAGGGAAGCAGGGAAGCAGAGACAAACCATCCCTACGTTTGAGACAGGAGAGCGCCTACTCGTCAACCCAGGTTACAAATGTATGTACTGTATTATTTGTGAAGATGGTCTTTCACGCTCTGGCACTTATGGGGAAGCCCACCCTGGGCTCCCCCACTTGACAAGGAGACGGGGAGGGGGGTTCCGGCGGCTCCCCAGGCCGAAGTGTAAATGTCGTGGTCTGGAAATTCACAAGGTGACTGGGTTTAGTCGGCCCCGGAAGGGTCTTCTCACGGTCCACAGTCTGCAGACCCCGCCGGCCCCCACGACCACCGCCCCCGGGGCTCTGCGCGGAGAGGCTCCACGAGCCCGCGGGCCTGGCCGCTCCCCACTTCTCGGGCAAGAGGCTTGGTTAATCATTCAACGCTGGCGGTGTGGAATATTTTTTAGAGGTCAAAACGAAAGGTTCTCCCTAAGTTTCGTAGAAACCGGTCTTTGGGGACCGAGGTGGCAGTGCAAAGGTGGGGGTGGGGCGCGGCTCGCAGAACACCTGATCTCCCCATGCGGCACCGGAGCCCTGCGCAGCGCGAGGGTGGGGTGCGGGGATGCGGGTGAGAGCTCGCACACGGCCCCCTCCCCAAAACGCCAGCGCCCCCGGCCAGGACGCTTGGCCCCCACTGGCCTTCCCAAAGCGCCTCCCTGCAACACCAGGGCGCAGGATCCCCGGAAGTTGGGGTGCAGCAGGAAAGGGGCCGTCAGGGGCCCCAGGGAGTGGGTGTGGAGTGGGGCCGGCGGCTCCGCGCCCTCTGCCGGGGTTTCGTTCCCCTCACTCTCGGGAGGGCGCGGAAGCGTGAGTCCGCCAAGAGCCTCCCAGGAGCGGGATCCACGCGGGGGCCGGGACGCAGCCGGAACCGGCGAGCGGGCGGGGGGCGCGCGGAGGCCGGCTGGGCCGGGTGGGGAGCGGGAGCGGGCGGGGGTGGGGTTCCCGCCGCCGCCGCCGCCGCAGGGCCCTACCTTGTCCAGGAGCAGCTCCAGCTCGGCGGGGCGGGGACGGGAGAGCGCGGCCGCATCCACGTCCCGGCCGCTCCGCGCGGCTCAGCCCGGCGACTGGCGCCGCTCACGCTCCATGCGCCGCGCCTGGCAGGGCGGCTCGGCGGGATCGGCGGCGGGCAGGATCCTACTGGCTTCCCGCACTTGTTGCCGCCGCCGCCGCAGCTGCGCCTCGCTGCGAGGTCCGACTCCCGGCGCCGCCGCCGCCAGCCCCGCCCCTGGCCCCGCCCCCGGACGGCGCGCCAATCAGGGCCGGCGCCTTCCCTGACGTCACCGCCCCGCACGGCCACCCACAGCCCCGCGCCCCAAGTTTTGGGATTGTCCGGCTCGGCCGCCAGGCGGAGGGGCTCCCGATATTTACCCGGGCTCTGGCTTTCCTCGGCTTCCGGGAACCTCTGGCACCTGCTGCACCTGGAAAGCAGAAGGTTACACTGGGTGGGCACAGGGGACCCCAGGAAGTAGACTTCCCGGAAAAGCAGGGCAGCCTCGCCGCCGTGCGGTCGGCGTCCCGCGGACGGCAGCCCTCCAGGGGCCGCGCTTGACCTGGGGAGCACTCCGGGACCTTTCCCGGCCGGAGACGGGTCCCGGCCGCCCCTCCGTGCAGGGGCCTGGGTGAGCGGGCTGGAGAAGGAAGGCGGGCCGGGCCGAGGGGGATCTGACCTCTCCCTGCTCGCCCACCTGCAGCCACCTTATATAGGCGCCCGAGGCCACCGCCACCGGATCCTAAGGTTTACGAAACCGTCCAAAACATGGGATCGGGAGCCTTGGTTCTCCTGGAGGCCCCACGAGTCTCAGGAAGTCGGAAATGCAAGGTGCCGGTGCCGGGAGGCGAACACGCGCCGCGGCCCCAGGGTCGGAGCTGACAGCTTAGGCGCGGCCCGGTAGATGGCTGAACGCTGACCCCTCGCGACACTGCGAGGCTGCACAGGCTGGGAGGGCGGCGCCGGCCACACCCGCCCACGGGAGCTCCGGCCCCCGCGCGCCCTGCTGGCTTACAGCTCCTCCCTGCTCGCCGGAGCCGTGCTAGCCAAGATGAGTCCTAGCGGCTGATGGCACCATTTTGGGACCCGCAAGTAAACACGGCGCTACAGGATGGAGAAGTTTCCCCGGGTTAGACCCGACTCAGCCAGCAAGAGAAGGAGCGCTCCATGGGGAAGACAAGCCCCACCCGAGGCGCACCTGTAAACTAGCCCTTTGCTTGGTTCTTATCTTTCTGGGTTAAGAAAACGATCTCTAGATGATTGTACTGAGGAATTAAGAATATCTCATCCCACTGTTTGCTTTTAGAAGGCAGTCAGAGGTGGAGTTAGTCAAGGGGAAGGAATTGTTAGTATCAGAATTTGTAAGCCCAGCTCACGAGATCATCGCTTTTTTATTTTGTTTGTTTTTTGTTTTTTGAGTCTCACTGTGCAGTTCAGGCTAGCCTTGAACTCACCATGGAACCCAGGTTGGCCAACGACTGGAGAAAGGATCCTCCTGCATCAGCCACCCCAGTACTGAAATTGTGGACATTCACCATCGTGCCCTCCTTTGTCTACACTTTTAATCTCCAGTAAAAGTGGAGGGTATTGCTGGAAGCACAGAGGCACACTGACACAGCCCTCTAGAAAGGGAAATTCTGAGTCAGTGGACCTGGAAATACTATGATTTGCAGGTTTTTTTGTTTTTATCTTGTTGAGACAGGATCTTGCTATGCAGTACAAGCTGGCCTTGAGCTCACTTTGTAGCCCAGGCTGGTCTCAAATTTGCAACAACCCTGTCTCAGCCTCTCAGGTGCTGTGATAACAGGAATGAACCAGTACCCCTGGCTGTGATTTGCGATCTTAAGATCTTTTTGCTTTTATGACGATCACACAGTCATAAAACTGTGGTGCCATGTTGGAGAAACACACTTGGGGGAGAGAGAGAGAAACAGAGTTAGTTTAGTTTTTTGGTTTGATTTGATTTGGTTTGGCTTGTTTTTATGAGACATTCTCACTATGTAGTTCAGCGTAGGTAGCCCAGGATAGCCTCAAACTTGCTGAGATCCTCCTGCCTTAGCCTCTGAGGGCTGAGATGACAGGTGTGTGCTACCAATTTGTTGAATTTTTATCTTTCATTGAAAAGACATTTGGGGGGCTGAGGATTTAGTTCAGCGGCATAAGCGCCTGCCTTGCAAGTTCGGAGTTGTGAGTTCGATCCCTGGTACCAATTTAAAAAAAAAAAAAAAAAAAGACATTTGGAAGGATTCACACAGCCAGTTAACCACAAATGAACAAAGTTTTGGGTCACAGATTGGGGTAAGAGAAGGAAGGTAGCTAAACTTTATACCCTCACTGACTTTGGCTTTTCCCAGTTTGAGTTACTTTCCTAATTTAGAAAGCTAATAAAACATTTTAAGGAAGTAAATTAGAAATTAAGGAATCCTACCTGAATGTATAACCACTTGTCCGAATATTTAAGTATATGTTGGCCAAAAATTGCATATTTTTTTCATTAATTTTTAAAATATCACAGGAAATATAAAAACAATTTTATCAAGTTGATTCCATACAAAAATAGACTGATTGAAATGACACCTGCCCAAGCTATGCTTAGGATAGTCAGTAGGTAAACAGACTCACTGCCCAGGTGGTCATTGGGGTAAATTGTTAAGTGATTAACAGATAAATGAAGTCCTGTCAAAATAGTCTTAAGCCCATGTCCCTTGGTTTAAATAAAGGTATCTGTAAGAGTGCTGTTTTGATCTTTAAATACTGAGAGGGGAGAAACTGGATATCTTAAGATTATTATGCGCCCCTGAATTAACATTTTCTTACTGTGAGTCTTCCCTTTAAATGTACTCCCACTGCATGTCACAGGCATAGTTTCAAGGACAGCCAGCCTAGGAGATTTTAGCAAGGAACTGCTACAATGTCAGCTGGCAGCAGACATGGAAGTTAAGCTTTTGTCCTTCACAGCTGCCAAAGGCCAGGGAGAACTAAAATATAAAAATAAAGAGCGTTCTCTCCCCAGTGCAGTTTTTTAGAATGTTGCCAGTGTGTCAGCAGCAGTTACACAGTAACTTCAGTGGAATGACTCACTGCTAGATTCCACTCCCGCCTGGCTGTGATCCCTACTATTAGGTTAGGACCAGGATTCAGCAGCAGCGGGCAGACAGTGTTATCCATAGCTTCAACAGCATGTTCTCTCCACCTCCTAGATGTGAGAGACAAGGCTTGGCACTGGAGTGGTGAGCGTGGCGGACACATATCTCTCTGGAGCCTCCAGTCTATCTGGAGAGAAGGGTTTGTCTGGTAAATGTGAAATGATTGAATAACTTCCCCTGGGTTTAATGAATTTAGCATTCAGAGGCTGAAATCGGAGGACTGTTACAGTGGACTTGTTCACCCTAGTTTACATATTTTTAGTGTTTCTTACTTGGAAAAATGAGTGCGCATTTGAATGCAGAGAGATAGGATCCCGTGAGAAGAGGAAAATGAAATACAACAGGGAGAGCACAGTGGGTAGTAAACGTTCCTGTGGCCAGCGAGGGGATGGAATCAGAATGAGTCCAAGGTCTGGCCTCCTGTGGGGACGCCCTTTCTACTGTAACATGCAAAGGAAGTTGCGGGATTAGCCAGGCAGACTTAGTGTGGGTAACTGAATCTTACTCTGTGATCTAAGGAGGCTGGTGATGGGGCAAGGACAGTATGAGATTTAAAAAGAGTAGACGAAGTCTGATTCAAGTCACTGCAGAAGGTTGTGACACCAGAGAAACAGCCAGGTAGCAAGGCAGCCTGACGTTGGTGGCGCCCTCCTGCTGTGGTTTCCTCCAGCAGCTTAGCTGCCCACTGGTACAGGCTCAGGGGAGGGAATTACTAGCATAGAAGAGCATAGGAATTAAAACCCTGGCCAAAGTGAGGCTGTTGTGATGTATGGTCAAAGACAGAGCACTGGAGAAGTCAAAGGGGTCAAGTCTTAGTCACATGCAAAGGTGAAGATGCTGGGTCAGACACTTGGATGGTTAAGGAAGAGGCTCAGGAGGGGAAGTTCAGGCCCATGGCAAAGGTAGATGAGAGAAGAGTATAAGAGTCATTGGGAAATATGAGGTCAAAAATTTAAGAGCTAGGGTATCAGATGGGTCCTCTGTGAGCGGAACCCTCCGGGATGTAGGTGGGAATTGGTGTTGTCTTGCAAAAGCAGAAAGAGGGAATGACCAGAAGACAGAAAGCACCAGGAAGGGGGAGAGCGGATGTGTCTGGGTAGCAGTCTCCTCAAAGGAGGCAGAGAAAGGGTGAGCAAATAGAGATGTACCTCTACCTCTAGGCCCAGAGGGACACAGGGAAAGTCAGCCACTTCATCTCCAAGCACTGCAATGAAAACAAAGTAGGTATCTAGTTCTGAACAAAGACTGATGATGGATGGATGGATGGATGGATGGATGGACTCATCAACTGATGGACCACCTTTGATTCAGTTTGTTTGTTGAAGTCTGGCCTTCCAGAGGACCAGGGAGAAGGATTTGGGGGTAGCAGGTGACTTGAAAAGGTACATCAGTCCCAGGAAGAGCAGCAGTGTGGCGTGACAAAAGAATAGAGGATCCACAAGCAAATGAAAATGAAAACAAAAAAGAGTGGCACAGTAGGGGCTGGGGATTTAGCTCAGCGGCATAAGCACCTGCCTTGCAAGCAGGCAGTCATGAGTTCGATTCCCGGTACCGAGAAAAAGAAAAAAGAGTGGCACAGTGGACTTTGCCTTGGTTGTCCCTTTGTGAACTCTACAAACTAGGCCACATCAGCTCACGTTCTTTTCCTTCCCAAGATTCCACCAGGGTATAGAACATGTGAAAGCCCCTCACCTCCTTCCTTCTCTACTGGGGGCTTTCTGGTCAACAAGCCCCTGGAGGCCCTGGATGTCAGTCAGTCGGGAATTCCTAGTTTATCGTAGATCTGTTACCTCTCTCAGACAGCTTGCTGACAATAGTCAGTTTCACTGTCTGAAGGATGATGCTAAAACACACCTACTTCTCAGGATATTGCAGAGAAGAGGATATAAATTAAATACAAGTACTTTCCACACTGTAAAACCTTGTAGCAATGTGCATGATTTCCTTTGTTTGCAGCCCCCTGACCCTGTGTACACCTACATCTCTCCCAGTAGCCCACCAAAGAACGCCTGAGTCTCTGCTCCAGAGGAAGCTGCAGTTTTTCCCGAGGGACAGGATAAATACATCCAAAACAATTAAGAGAAGAAAGCACAGCTGGGTTTGGTTAAGTGCTAAATTGTAAGGTGCAGACTGTAAGACATCTTAGATCAGAAAAAGGAATAATTAGGCAGGGTTGGGACAGTCTGGGAGGCTTCCTGGAGAAGGCAGGGTGAAAAGCCTCCCAGGTTGCTTATTTAGTCGAAGAATATTTACAAATAGGCACTTTTTTTGTGGCTGCAAAGACTATTGACCTGATGGTTGATCCGGGTCTGCAGAAAGGTTCTAGGTCATAGGTTGCTCTTGGCAGCCCTGTGTGTCAGCCCTCTGCTGTTCCTGGAGTATTGTCCCTCTCAGTTACAAGCCTGCTCCTCACAGGGAGACGTGCAGGATGGACTACACAGTGAATCTGTGTGCTTTGCCCTAGGCTTCTCGTTTGGATTTCCTGGGTCACCTATTTGCCTGGGGAGGAGTCTGAAGCTGCCCTTTGGCAGGTTTCCTGGACCCCTTCACTGCTACCGCCCATGTGGCCTTTTGGTAGCCGTGATATAGGCTTTTGAGCAGACTGACCTGGATGCCCTTTCTTCTTAGCTTTTAAGCTCCATTGCCTCACTGCATTGGGTCGGCCTGATGCCCACAGAGCCAAAGCCCTGCGCCACACCTGCCACCTTTGTTCTTTACAGCCTCACTAACCAGGAGCACCCACCAACCTGCTGTGCAGATCCAAGCCCCACACAGCAGGCGCTCCAGGACTCAAGCATCTCCAAGTCCAGAACTGGCTTCTACTTCTCGGCTTCTGTGGGAACCAGCTTTTATTCCCTTTGAACACAGTTCAGAATGAATGCCTGCCTTCTCAGTGCAAGCTTCATGGCCTAGTTGATTCCTCAGCCCTGTCCCTTCCTTCACTTAAACCACAGGCCTAGCAGAGGTCCAAGCATGCCTAAGGGCATCCATAAAGATAGCAGCAGCAATGGTGAAACCCCAGACTTTTATAAGCTGTGAACCTAGGCTGTTTAAAATGGAGAGCAACATTTTGCTAATTTACTAATCAGTCCCAATGGGTTTTTGAAAACACTTCTGTCATGGATAAAGTGTTAATTATTGAAGAAAAATGCAGACTCTTGATGCCTGAATTCTTAGAATTCTAGTTCAAATCTCTTGGAACCAAAAAGGGAAGAAAAGAAGGAAAACTACTTTTGGGGCCTTCTTTAGCCAAACACCCGACGGTGGAGATAATATCTTGAATGCTGGACAATTAAATCACAAGTTAATAATCACCTAGCTCCTAAACCAGATGCTGTACTCCCAAGGTTACTGTGACTTTGCAACAGCAGAAAAACATAAAGCCTCATTATCAGATGCAGATATTAGAAACAAAAGTCATGGTTCCTAGGGGACTCGCTCCATATCCCACAGTCCTGATGATGGAACAACTCAGAATTCCCAGGTTAGTAAAGTCGAGCTTGCATATTACTTTATAGTGGAGCATAAAGGCAGCCATTTGAAGGAACACAAACAGCTGTCTGTTAGTCATATTGTTTTGTACATGGAACTCTCATAAAAGAGAAATGCAAAATCATACTCTTAATTATCATCAAACTGCAAAATTACATTCAAGAGGAGAGACCCATAATTGCACCACCGAGCATGAGACAGTGCTGTTAATATAATTATACAGGCATAAGCTTATTAGAGAACTTAATGCCTCTTCGCTGGCATCATCCTTTGTAAGCTTTCTATGGTCTCAAAACTCTCAGTTGTAAACATAACTGTTCTAAAACAGTGATTTCCAAGGGGCATTACAAAATTCTGCTGACCTTTACCAAAGGCCAGCATTGCCTGGCTAAGGAGAAAGAGAACATTTCTGGAAAATGAAAATTGGTTGGCTTTTATTAAGGAAAGAAGTATTTCTGTTTCTAAGTCCCATGAAGTCTTGCAGTAATCTAGCTGTGGATATAATTGTGAGGTCTAACGACCTGGAGAAACTCCAGCTCCAACACAGCAGCCAAGCTGCAGGTGAAAAATCATGATGTGAGAGTCTTCAAGCTCCAGCTCAAATCCCACTCTGGGAAGAGCTGTCTTGGCAACAGTAATTCCTGTCTTAAAGAGTTCCCAAAGGCTGAGGCAGGAGGATCGCTTAAGTCTAAAGGCAGCCTGTAGAGTGAGCCTGGACTACAAGTAGGAACCAGTCTCCAAAGAAAAGAGTCTCCAGGAAGCGGAAATAAGATCATTTATGGTCAAGTGCCTGAGTATGTGTATGAGGTATGATCAAAAACTGTGATGAATGTTTAAATCTTTCTTAATGTATTGTTGTAAAAAACACATTGCTATTAATCCCCTCAGAGTACTCCCCCTTCCTTTGAAAACACCTCATCAGGGGTTGGGGATTTAGCTCAGCGGCATAAGCACCTGCCTTGCAAGCAGGCAGTCGTGAGTTTGATTCCCCGGTACCGATAAAAAGGAAAAAGACAAAAAAGATATAAAAAGAAAAGAAAACACCTCATCATTCTTGTCACTTTCTGACAGTCCTCTCGTGAGTGTCTTTAGTT